CTGCCCGAAGCCCAAGCGCTACCGGCTTCACGGTTTGCCGGGCAGCCCCCAGACCCTGCGCCCCCGGCTGGGCGCTTCCCCTCCCGGGCTCCAGCTGCGCTGGGGAAGCGCCGGCTGGGGGCTGCCCGGCAAACCGTGAAGCCGGTAGCACTCGGGCAACCCTTTCCGCGTGGCTGGGAGTGGGAGGGAGGAGGGGCGGAGTTAGGGCGGGGAAGGGGCGGAGTTGGGACGGGGTTGGGGGGTGGGGAAATGGGCCCGTGGAGGGTCCTCTTTTTTTTATTTGTTAGATATGGTAACCATACAGTAGAGGCATGCTCAGGATAGGAGCAGGGTGGACCTGGGTTCATGCAACTTTTCCTGTCCTGAATGTGCCTTTTTCCTGCCCCGTTGCTTCATTCAGCTCTTCTGATGCCTCTTTGGGGTCGCATACCGTAAGTTAGGATAGACTGGTTTATGGGTTACTGAATGCATACCTATTGTCAGCCAACTAAAATCAAACCGTGCCCTCTGCTGTCTCTCTGACATTCATTAACTTATGGAATGGCCTCTGAGTAAATAGCAGCAAAGTTCATTATCATGATGATAAACATAAATCAATGATTTATCCAAAGGTGCCTTGAACTGGTAGGACTTTCTAACTACCCAAAAGTAATTAATAACGCTCAGTAACTCTGTTCAGTAATCCCATAGTTTCTATCTTCACATTTCAGGAACAACTTTGTGATACAAGTGAACAAGTGGAAAAGTTGGTTCCCTAATTTAAAATAATAATAATAATAATAATAATCTAATCACACCCCAATGAGTTTGTGACAAAAGTGGAGCTGCTTTGTAATATCTAAGAAGAACAAGCTGCAACAATTTTATCAACAACGCAACCTGATCAATGAAGGGAAGTAACTGTCTAATTATGACAGTTTCAGAGTGGTAGCTGTGTTAGTCTGTATCAGCAAAAACAATGAGGTGTCCTTGTGGCACCTCAGAGACTAAAACATTTATTAATTTGTCCACAAGGAAGCCTCATTGTTTTTGTCTAATTATGGTGGTTTATTAGCATTTCCTATACAACTACATTAGCCTAACTTAATAGTGGGCTATGGAAAGAGCAAACAAGAAAGCAACATAATAGGCCTAGATAAGAAGCGTCAGGCACAGACTTGAAAGACAATGGGGCAAGAAGTTAGCTCCAAAGATCCCTGCTCCAACATGTTACATGCAAGCCTTGTTTAGGTTTCAGAGTAGCAGCCGTGTTAGTCTGTATCCGCCAAAAGAACAGGAGTACTTGTGGCACCTTAGAGACTAACAAATTTATTAGAGCATAAGCTTTCGTGGGCTACTGCCCACTTCTTAGCCAGTGTTGTGAATGGAGAGATCAAAAGAACAGTTAAAAAACACTCCTCAAGAGAAGAAGGGGAATGTCACTGATCAGAAACTGCCTAGGGAAACAGGCTGACAGAGAGACTCTGTGGAAGAAGCGTAAAGAAGTTTGGCTTTCCCAGATCCGGGCAATGGATTAGAGAAAAATCTAGATATGCGTATAGTCTGTTTTATTGTTTTAAGATAAGTTCTGTTTTAAATAGGTTTGTTCTAAATAAATAATACTTTGCTTTAAGAAGGTTGCTTGGTCACTGTATTGACCATTGTCATTGCTCCTGGGGAGAACAGAACTGCAGGCAGCAAAGATAAATCAGGCATGAGGAGCTAATCATGGATATAACTTAGATAATTTTTTCACATCTTAGCTCATAGAGCCGAGAAGCGATGGAATGCAACCCAGGCCTGGTCTCAATGAGAGAATCATGCGATTCCATCCCAAGAGATGTGACAGCCCAAAACCTGGGCCTGAAGGGAGGAGATTTTAAGAGACCAGGAAGGGTGTGAGGGGCAGCAGTTAACCCAGCAGTGCTGTTAGTACAGGGGTTCTCAGACTTTTGTACTGGTGACCCCTTTCACACAGCAAATTTCTGGGTGTGACCACCCCTTATACATTAAAAACACTTTTTTATATATATTTAACACATTCTAAATGCTGCAGGCGAAGTGGAGTTTGGGGT